AAGATTTTTACTTTTATTTAAATTTTGTATTTTTTTCAATATTTTCCTCCAAAGATAAAAATACCCTGTTTTCACTTTAATTTTTTTCTGTCACTTAGAGATGGGGAAATCATACGAAGATCTTTTGTTTAAGTTTGAAAATACTTTTATGTCTTTAAAATACTATTTCTTTAGTATTGATGCTACTGCTACTGTAATACTTTAAAATTCTAACTTTGGTCTGTTTTTGAATTGTCTGCTATTTTAAATGTTCAGTGATGAGAAACCGTATCAGATTCTATGCTATTTTATTATAAAGTTACACATTTTACCCTTTCAAAGGGAAAATACAGTACATATTCTATATATCTGACATGACTCTAAGATACTGTGAGACTTTCACATGCTAAGACTTCTTTTTGAATTATTTACCTGATAATTCTACATTATATTAAGTATTTAATACAGGACGAATTATTATTGGTATATAAATTTATTTTTATTATAAAAAAGTTTCTATGTAAGTAAAACGTATAAATATGATTGTTTTTTAGTTAGAAATTCTAATATTATAACTTATATTTTTAAGTAAAATTATTTTAGAGTGTTTTCGATTGAAATTTTAAATATTTAAGAAAATAAAAGTAAATTTTTTATAGAAATATTTTTATTTTTCTATTTTTTTGATATAATTTTATAAAAAAGAATAANTTAAAAAATACTTTTTTTATTTACATTCTACTGCTAGCAGATGAGGAAGAAGAATACCTGTAACTAGAAGCAAAGCCAGCAGCACCTCCTGCCAATCCAGATAATCTTGAACCAATACCTGAAAACAATGATCCAGCACTTAATCCTGATGGTGTAATCTCAAATGACTGAGATGGTGACCCATTACAAGGTGCAAGAGTGACAAAATTGTCCATAAAAGTGTTTTCTGTCAGTCCTGCATCAATACACTTCATATTATTTTCAAACCTCACTGTTCCATTCCCAGACTCAACCATGTTAAAGAAGGTTTTAGGATCAAATTCACTTGCAATGTTAATTTTTATTTTATTGTCATATTCACTGTAAGCAACTGGGCTTCCTTTAAAAAATATTTGTACTACATTGTCAGATTTGGGCACTAAAGTGGCTCTGCTCTCAGATACACCTAAGCCAGAAGCAAATTTATTTAAGATTGAGAATTTTTTAGCTACCAAGGTGTTATTTTCATTCACATGTAATTTTAGTAAAGGATTACTAGCTAAGTTAATGATTACTTCTGTTTTATCAGTTAAGCAGAGTATGTTTTTTAAGAGAGATATTAAAATTAGCATTGATCTTCCATTTTTTTTTCTTAAATACTTTTTTAGTTTAAAATTGACTAATCATTTTTTAACAATGTAAGATTACATAATAAAAAATAAAAGATTTTATTTGTTATTTTTTTATAAACGTATTTTTAAATTTAAATATGTTTTATGAATAAAATACACGTTAAAAATAAAATATTTTTAAAAAATAATTAAATTAATAAATTTAATAATTAAAAAATAAAAATTAAATAAATTTTAAAGAATTGTGATTTTTTTTTCATATTTCTTAATAACAAATTCTTCTTCCTTGTTTTTTAATTTAACTAACCTCAAACACAAATGTGGTCCAATATTCTGAAAATCAATTTTTTCATTCCTAAAAATATACCTATACATCCTAAAAAAGATAAAATCATTCTGACACTGGAAAGTAACCACTTGTCTTCCTTCTATTTTACAAGGAAAAAGCTTTTCTAACCAATTAACAACTGATCCTCCCAAAGAAGTACTAAAATTATTGACTATCAGTTGAGGAGAATCCTCTGTGATTATTAAATTGTTGTTTAATTTCTTTTTACTCAAATATTCTACTATTTTAAATTCTATCTCTCCTTCTAAGTCTTTTATGATTAATTTGTATGGTCTTATGTTGTTATATTCTATTATTTGGATGTTTAAATCTGTTTTTTCTTCAGATATAAATGTGTAAGGGATTATTGTTGATAGTTCTTTTGCTAATTCTTGTGTTTCTTTACAAGCATTTTTTGGTATGTTAATTGCAATTAGCATGGATAAAATAAAATATTTTTTAAAAATAATATAATTTATTTTAATCTAAAAAATGTGTAAATTAAAATTAGATTTTTTTATTTTATTTATTTTATTTTATTTATTTTATTTTATTTTATTTTATTTTATTTTATTTTATTTTATTTTATTTTATTTTATTTTATTTTATTTATATTTTATTTTATTTTAATTAAAATGTTTGATAATTTAATGTTGAATTTTAATTATTAGATAATTTTATTTTCTAGAAATTTCTAGAAAATTTAAAGTATAAAAAGAAAAAAAGTGCATAAACCATGTCAACACAAGAATACAAATTCGATGCAAACATAGAATTTTTAATGTCAATCATCAACAAATCAGTGTACAACAACAAAGAAGCATTTATCAGAGAACTTATTTCTAATGCATCTGATGCTTTGGACAAACTAGCATTGGAATACACCAATTTTACTGACCTTCTTCCACATAACGAATGGTATATTGAAGTAAAATCAGAAGGAAATAAATTGTTTATAAAAGATACAGGAATAGGAATGACAAAAAATGATTTAATTAACTTTTTAGGATGCATTGCTCAAAGTGGAACTAAGAAATTTAAAGAGAATTTACAAACTAAGGATAAAAATTTGATTGGTCAGTTTGGAATAGGATTTTATTCTGCATTCTTGGTAGCAGACAAGGTAGAAGTTATTTCTAAACATCCATTAGACAGTGCTTACAGATGGGAGAGTGATGGTATTGGAAAGTATAGCATTACACCAGCAGAGAGTGATGGTGTGCATGGTACAACCATAATCTTACATTTTAAGCAGGGAGAAGAAGAATTTTTACAGGTAGAAAAGCTTATTGAGCTGATTAAGAAATTTTCTATGTTTATTCAGTATCCTATTTATGTTTTAACACCTAAGAAGGAAGAAACAACCAAGCCTGAAAATGAAGTTAATGAGACTGATGAGGTAAAAGAAGAGACTGATGAAGTTAAAAATGAGACTGATGAAGTTAAAAATGAGACTGATGAAGTAAAAGAAGAGACTGATGAGGTAAAAGAGAGTGAAGAAAAGAAAGAAGTAATTTTTGAAAGACAAAGAATAAACAGAGAAAAGGAATTATGGAATAAAAAAATAGAAGAAATCCCCAAAGAAGAATTAACTTCCTTTTACAAAGAAATATCAAATGACTGGGATGATTTCTTAGAATGTAAATCATGGAAATTAGAAGGAGTGGTTAATTTTAATTTACTTTTATTTATTCCTAAGAGAGTACCTTTTAATTTGTTTGATAAGTCATACAATAAGAATANGATTAAATTGTACTGTGCTAATGTATTTGTGACTGATGAGTTAAATTGTTTACCTGATCCATTAGCATTTGTTACAGGAATAGTCAGCACTGATGATTTACCAATGAGTATTAGCAGAGAAAATGTACAAGGCACTTCTTTCCATAAAATGTTAAAGAAGATGTTAGTTAACAAAATAATTGATTTGATTGACAGTGTTAAAGAATATGATGATTTTTACAAAGAATATTCTACAGCCATAAAATTAATGGCCAGGGATGATGACAGGTTTGTTAAATATTTAAGGTATTTTTCTACTAAGTCATTAAACAAACAAATTTCTTTACAAGAATACATTGACAATAACAAAGAAAGTAAAGAAATTTATTTAATTACTGGTTTATCAAAAGAAGAATGTTTAGAATCATTTTACTTAAAGAAATACAAAGATAAAGAAGTATTATTAATGTGTGAGCCAGCTGATGAATTATTATTACAATCATTAAAGAAATTTAAAGAAATTCCTTTGAAAAGAGTCACAGTTAATGATTTATCACAAGAAAATGTTGAAGAGAATGAATTTAATAAAGAATTAACTAACTTACTTAACTTAGAAAAAGTGGTCAGTAATGATTCATTAGACATTCCTTGTTTAATTACAACCAATGAGTATGGTTCTTCAGGTACCTTTGAAAAAATAATGCAAGCTCAGAATGCTAATCATCCTTACTTTATGTTTAACATGGGAAAAAAGATATTAGAAGTAAATTACAATCATCCTTTAGTTAAAAGAATTAAGTTACTTTATGATAACAAAGATACTTTGTTTAAGAAGATGGCTAAAACAATGTATAACACTGCTCTACTTAGCTGTGGGTATAAAATTAATGAGATTAATGAATATTGTGCTGGTATTTATGAGTTATTAAGTAATACTAATGGTTATGAACAAGTAGTAAATGAATCAACCAATCAGGAAGAAGTAAATGNCATNNANTNANNANNANNAAAAAACAATTTAATAAAATATTTAAAAAACAATTTAAATTAGATAAATATTAAAATTAATAATTAAAAAACAATTTAATAAAATATTTAATTAAATTATAAAATAAATATTTAATTAATGTTGATTTACGAATCAAACAGTGACACAGAACAAAAATTAGATGATTATGACTTAGAATTAGGATTAGCACTCTCTAAATCAATCACAAAAGAACCAGGTAGTCAAATACTATCACCAAATAAAGTAAAGAAAAAGGTGGAAGAGAATCTTAAGAATTTAAAAAAAACGAGCCAGGTGGGACTTGAACCCACAACCCTGTGATCCGAAGTCACATGCGCTAACCATTACGCTACAGGCCCATTTTATTTATACATCCTTTTTTATTAAATATCATATACCTCTTTTTATTTTATAATAATACTGTTTAATAAATTATGTTAAATATATTTTATATTATTTAATTATAAAATAATTTTTTTAATCCTTTTAATTATAATACCTCATCCACTGCCTGAT